TCTGGTTTCACCCTCCCATTTCTGTATCAGCGGCGCGTTGTCCGTCTTTACCAGTAACAGTTATGATATGGAGCACCTTCAAGATACATCTGCCTGTGAGCCTTTCCTCCCCCTTCTCCAACATCCTCCTCCACCAACATTCCCTTTCCTCATCTGCTCCTCCTCCACCCTTGTCCCTGCCCCTCTCCCTCAGTCTTCTCCACCTTCTTTTGCTGCTGCTCCTCCCGCTCATGTCACACTCCCTCCTCATGTCACATTTCCTACCTGGACCACCGACAACGATGACGACGACGACGACCACGACGACGATGACGACGACGACCACGACGACCACGACGACCACGACGACCACGACGACTTCGACGGCCATGACGACGGCGACCACGACGACCACGACGACCACGACGACGATGACGACGACCACGACGACGACGACGATCGCACCGCGAGCGACGCAGTTTTGCTGCGTGTCCGCCCCGCCGTCCCCCTTGTTGTGCCGTGCCCCTCGCTGGCCCCTCCCGCCAGGCCCGCTCCCTCGTCCTGCGCAGCCTCCTCTTCCTGCTCGTCGTCGATACCGCTGTCGTTGTTCTCCCCGCCTCGCTCCCTTCGCCCCTCTTCCATCCCTTCCTCCTCCGCCTCCTCCTCCTCCTGCTTCCACGTAGCCATTGCTGCGCAAGACGGCCTTCGCTGATCTGCCGCTCAAGCGAGACCAGCGCATCTATTGTACTGCATGTGTGCTGGTCTCCTTATCTGTGTGCTGCTGTGGTTTGCGTGGCACAGTCGAGACATGGATGCCGCGTGTGGACAGGTTTCGAGTTCAGCTGGTCGCGCCTTGCGCCTGGTCAGAGCTGCGTCCGACCGACATTACTCTGGGCTCAACAAGGCAGTTCATGGAAGTCTCAGCGAATGTTCCTCGTCTCTTTGACGTCGTCTTCGCCATGTCGCTGTTGTACAGTGTTTTTACCGTTGCCATACGGACGTCTGGGAACAAGAGTTTTCGCACGAGTTGGAGATGACCCTCCAGGATTCGTCCCCGAGCTTTTTACATGATTCGCTAGTGTGCACACCGTCGTCACGCATTAGCTCTCAATTGTAATGCTCCCGACGTGTTCCCCGAAGCACAACACCGCTGCCTCGTTGGTGTCAGTGCCTGTGTTGTTGGCCGTGTCGCAGCAGGCGCATGATGGACAGCAGGCTTCTTTCCAAGAACTCGCTTCTGCACATACTGATTCAGGAGGGGAAACAACACACAGTTACAATGAATCGTCGATTTCCAGGAAAATATGGGAAAAGATGGGAAGTGGAAGGGGAATACAAAAACCCAGAAAATATAAGAAATATAAGGGGTCCTTGTATTTGTGTGTATTTATTTGCGTGTCCCAGGGCCCCTTCACAGAAGCAGCCTTCTGACTTCGACTGGGGCTCCGATGCCAAAATGTAGTGCTGCTGCCGCCGGGACTCCCGCCCTGATTCGAGGGACCCCCCGAGATGTTGCAGCTAGAGCTGGACCTTCGGTCGCAGGAGCAGCTGCCATTACCATCATGCAGCAGATCATTCTTGGCATCGGAGGGCGTCTCTCGAAGATGATGGAGGCGCTGATTACTCAAGGAAACAAGGTTCGACGAACATGCCCTGTCCACCAGCGGCCCCGACCAAAAACAGCTTGCTGCGGTCACCGAGTTTACTCATTTCTTGCGTACCGAGATCCGCGGGCTGGCGATTCGTACCGATAGGCTGGAGGGTCAACGCTACGATTCCTCGCCTTATCGTGGACGCTCCCCGTTCGCCTCGAGCCCTGGACCGCCGACTGGCAATGTAAAGCGTGAGTGCAAGTACGGCCGAAAGTGTCACAGGGTCGATTGTGCTTTTCGCAATCGAGAGGGTCGCATCACAGACGAGGGGACGCGTTCCAGGCTCTCACCGCCGCGCGACTCAGACAACATGCGCAGCCAGAGACTTGGATCCTGTGGGCCGCTTTCTCGGTCTTCGGCCTCTGGCGGCCTTGACAGTTCGAGGTTTGACCTCATCGGATCTGAATCGGATGAACCAGGTTTCGATTGATGCGTGCATTGTTCTCTGTCTGGCGGCTACCCTAATTATAGCATCGCGGTCTACGGGATCAGAGGGCTGGCATTATCTTCGTTCATCTCGTCGACGTTTTTACACACATCCTGTTCTTTGTGTTCTGTGTGCGTATTCTAGGAAGTTTGCGCTTTCTTTCGCTCGCCAGGGTGTGGCGGGCCGATTGTTTCCCGTGTTGAGTGTAACAAGCTTGTTAGTTACGCTCCACCTCCTCCTGCTGCTTCTCTTCTTGCTGCGGTTACTTCCCTCTTTCAGTTTCGTCTTGCGTTGTTTCTTTCTTGGCTCCTCCTCCTCTGTGTCCACCCTCCCGTTCATAATTATGATCCCTTCTCCCCCTTCCTCCCTTCCCCTGCTTGTCCTGCCTATCGCCGCCCCCGTCTTCATGGTCGCCCTCCCTCCTCCTTAAATAGGTGCCCTATATTGGAAGAGGTGTCCGCTGAATGGTGGCGGTGGCGGGTTCGAACTAGTTGTCGCAACGGTTCCCGGCCCTTGGCGCCCGTGAGCAAGTTGCGATTGCTCTTGGCATTCGTGCGGCTGCGTGGAAAATCGAAGTGCGCCTCTCATCGAATCCGCTATGTGGACAGCCGTAGGGGCCTGTGCTGCGCTAGGAATACAACTTGCAGTTTCGACGGCATCGGGGCGAAGTCACTGTAAAACCCACAGGAATCCAGATACATCCAAACGGTATCGTACCCAAGCCCGACAAAGTCCGGAATTCGTTTCAGGTGTCGGTCGCAGGCTCCCAGGAAGGGTTATCCAACATGCGGCGCGCCATCGAGACGGTGATCAACAAAGCGTTGCGCTGGTGTTGGCCGCATCCGCTCGACACGTCGCTCCGAGGCTCCGATCGTATCGTGGAGACAGCGCGTGTGCGATTTGCCGTGCGATTTGCTGGTACTGGCCACAGGTCGAAGTGCGTGAGTGGTGTTGTCGCCCTGGCAGGTCTTTGTGCCCTAATGCTACAAGTACGTGCGCGCGTGTGTGTGTGTGTGTGTGTGAATGTGTGTGTATGTGTGTATGTGTGCGGGTGGGTGTTTCCTGATCATGTTTCTTTTTTGCACGGCATGTTGTTCCCTGCGCGGCGTTCAGGACATGATCACTGTTTTCTCTCGTTTTGCCGCTCGTCTCTGCGGTTCCAATCTTTTGGCCCGCTCTCATTGCCGAGCGTCGTCCTCAAGATAAGAGTGCAAGTGATTCATTCGCTCCCCGTAGATTTGTTTGATTGCGACTGTGGTGCCAAGTCGCCGGCGGAGGAACAAGTGTGCATGCGTCTTCTTGTGTGCGTGGGTCTCCTCCGCCTCCCCTCTGTTGGGTTCGGTGGCTTCACCGTTGCTCTTACGGGTTTGCCTGCACCACCCGTTTTTTCGGACCTGGATGCGCCTACGCGCTTTGTCTTAGGACACCGATTCGAGGTGTACTCGCCCCGTCACCATGCAGCCGTGATCTTGGAGTCAGCCGCGCGTCGGAGGAAAAAGTGTGTGTGTGTGTAGGTATGTGTGTGTTTGGGATTGCCAGAGTATCTCATGGCCTTCCGCTTATGCTGCCACCGTGCTTGGGTTGTGGGTATGAAGTCTATTGGATGTTCGCTGGGATCTCGTGGGAGGCCTGTTAGGGGCCTCTTGGGGCCTCTTTTGGGCTTCTCAGGGGCCTCTTTGGGGCCTCTTGGAGGTCTCTTGGGGGCCTCTTGGGGCCTCCTGGGCGCCTCTGGGAGCCTCCTGGGGACCTCTGGGAGTGGAAGGCTTGGACTTCCGGTTCGTGCTCCGTTTTTGGCTTGGGCCGTGTTGGGGCGGAGCCACAGGGGGCACGGGGGAAGCCCCGGTAGTTTTCGGAATTTGGAGCGCGGGGCTCTTAAAGACCCTTGAGGATGGAGGCTCCAGGTATTATGCAAGGGACTTGAGGACGCGCCCACTCCGTGCCCAGAGGCTCGGAGGCTCGGTGGCAGATGCTCACGTGCCGATGATAGTCTGACGCGACTGTTGTGTCACATCCCCGGCTGAGGAAAAAAGTGCATGTGTGCGTGTGGTTGCCACAGGGCCCCGTTTGCGCTTGGTGAAAAAGTGTGCGTGCGTGCGTGCGTGCGTGCGTGCGTGCGTGCGTGTGTGTGTGTGTGTGTGTGTGCGCGTGTGTGTGTGTGTGTTTGTGTTTGTGTGTGTGTATGTGTGTGTGTATGTGTGTGTGTGTGTGTGCGTGTGTGTGTGTGTGTGTGTCCCGCCGCCGCCTGGCTTCGCTCTGAGCGGGCCCGGCTTCGGTCTCCCTCCTGCCTCCGCCGGGCGTTCCTCCTCTCCCTCCCGTGCATCGTTGCTTAATTCGCATTCGTATGCCCTGCCAGTGCTCTTCCGCCAGCTCAGTCACTGCCTAGCCGCCGACGTAAAAAGTGTGTGTGTGTGTGTGTGTGTGTGTGTGCGTGTGTGGGTGTGTGAGGTGTGACTGTGTGTAAGCGTGTGTTTGTGTGCTTGTGCGCTTGTTTGTATGATTGTGTGTGTGTTTGTTTGTTTCACGCGGGCGGTGGACATCGGGTAACAGGCTGGGCATCGTATGCTCAGTTGTCGCATGCGCCGCTGGGCGCGCGGGCGGGCGTGGCCCGCCAGTGCGCTGCACGAGCGTTTGAAGCAGCGGTGCCATCACATTGAGAAAGGGTGCTGTGGCTTCGTTCTGACAAGGTGGTTCATTCACCTAGAGCGTAGCCCGCTTGTGTGATTCGTGAACCTGCATCCCATCGACGCGCTGGAGGAACATATGTGTGCATGTGTTTGTCTATGCGCGCTCTGTGCTCACTCTTCTTCTGGCTGTCTTCCCGGCAGGTACTGCTTATCATCTCGGATGCGTTGCATACGTCAGCTTTGGTCAATCGGCTGTTTTGTTCGCGCCACGATCTAGTACGTGCGTGCGGCTCAGGGCGCGTATGTAATAACCATTTCGCTCAAGGTGTGGACGCCCCGGCGCCTCTCGTTCGCCAGCGCGCGAGAGAGAGACAGATGGATTCCAATGGCTCTCAGCCGGGAGAAGACGTCGACACCGCGCAGCAGCGCAGCGCCGTGGTATGCAAAAGGGTGTCTGACATGCGGCCCATGATAGTTGCGAGTGGTATGCCGCTTCGGGAGCTGTCAGCGCGCTTAGCACTGCCAGGGCGCAGGGATATCGTGACGCCGTTGGCGGCAGCTTCGTCGCCGTCCTCATCGAGCAGGAGACTTCCGAGAACGCCCCCTCGAGCCGCATCGAAGCCCTCGGCCGCCTCAGGCCTCTCGGAGGCGGAGGTTTTGGTCTGCGGTCCGGACTTGTGCAGTTCTTCGCTCGAGCGGGGCGGCGCGGATGCGGTACCGCTGACCGCTGGAGCCCCCGCGGGGACGCCAGAGGCCGTCGCGTCAACCCAGGAGAGCTGCGAAGCAGCCCGCGTGTGCGAGGTGCCAACCGAAGCGTTGGACTCCGAAAAGCAGCGCCTCGGCACCAGGGAGCTGGCCGCGCCAGCGCCCGAGCCAGCGGCCGCCTCCGAGCCAGACGCTGCGACGCCAGCGCAGCGCAGCACCGCGGAGTGCGCGGCGCGGCGCGGCGCCTCCGCGCTCCTCGCAGGCCGCGCCGGGCGGCAGTGCCCGCGCGCAGCCACGCGCTCCTCGAGCGTGGCCGCCGTGAGTGCCCCGGCGACCACGCTGCGGCTGGCCAGGCGCTCTCGCTCGGCCCGGTCGGCCCTCGGCGCGAAGGCATTGGGCGTTGCGTAATGGGGGGTGCGATGAAGTGAGGGGGGGGGGTGAAGAATGGTACACCTTTTGTGCACTCAAGGGGCCCCAGTGGGCCCTCCGGGGCCCAAGAGGGGTGCGGAAGGTGCACGTTTCTCTCCCGCCCCATTTGGTCGCTCTCCTTGTCAGCAATGCCCAAGAAGGCCGGGATCGACCGCTCCCTGAGGTGCGAGGCGGAGGCCAAGCGGAGCCCTGGTGGTGTCGACGCTGGTGGTGCAGATCTTCGTGGAGGCAAGGCTGTGCTCGGCGCGTCGGCCTCAAGTGCCGCGGTAGTCAGCACTATTGTGCACACCAGCCTCAGCAGAGCGAGCGATGGGACTACCCAGCGAGCTCCGCAACTACAGCAGGATGTAGTTGCCGGCGCCCCAGTGAGCTCGGTCGCACCGGTGCAGCACGAGACGACCCAGGTGCCAAACCCTGAGGTGATTCTGGGTAGCATCAACGAGCTGACGCGGAAGCTGCTGGGCGTCATGGAGTGCTTGGAGACCCGGGGCAACGAGGAACCGACGGAGCAGAGCTCCCCTGGATACGCGCCGGCGGACGCCCCTGTGGCGCGGCTTGACGCCGCTTTCGCGACGCTCCTGCCCGCGCAATCCGCGGCTCACAGCCCGCGCAGCCCCCGGCGGCCCCCGCTGCTGCAGCCCGCGTCTGCGCCGCACCCAGCGCCGCAGCCTCCTGGACCGCCTCTCCTACTCGCGCACCCTGGCGCGGTCAGCCGCAGTGTGACCGACATCCCCAAGCTGCCAGCACGTCAGCCGCCGCAGGGGCAGCAGTCGCCCGCGGCCAAGGGCCACACCGTGGTCCCGAGGGCGAGGCCGATGTCGTCTGCTACTGGCGCGGAGGCCCGCCCCAAGCGCAAGCCTTCGGCGAAGCAGAGGGCGCGCGAGGACGTGCTCCAGCGTCGCAAGCGTTTGGGCCTGGTGGCCATCCCGCGGGACGAGGCCACCTCCGACGGCCTCGGCGCCGCTGGAGCGCCTCGGAGCGACCAGCCCACGGCAGAGGCAGCGGGCGAGCAGTCACTGCTAGGCGTGACCGCCCTTGGGCGCGCGAGAGGCGGCTGGTACTCCTCCGAGCGCGCTCAGGAGATCGTCATCGAGAACCAGCAGGAGGCGATGCAGAGCCGCAAGATGGCGGAGGAGAAGCAGCAGCGGCGGCAGGACCAGCTGCGTCGCTTGGAACAGGCCTACAGGTCCAACGTGAGAAGGATGTCCGCCAGCAGGCAAGCTGCAACTTACGCAGGCTCGGGCAAGGCCAGCACGCGCCGGTCTCCGATGGGACACCGCCCTGGTCATCGTGGGCACCGTCATTCCCGAGCTGTTGAGGCTGCGCCCCATCGCCAAGTTACCACAGTGCGCTCAAGGTCGCCAGCGCCACTAGAGGAGTTCGTGGGGGACTTCCTGCAGACGGAGAGTGAAGGCGCATGGACGGAACCCGAGAATGCCATCCGCCGTGGTGCGGCGTTGCATAGCGGCACAGAGGGCGCCCACAGCCGCCTGGGAGCCAGCTTCTCCGACGACGGGGGGAGCCTGCACTCGCGCTCTGGGCGCTTGGGGCTCCGCTCGCCGCTGGCAACCCGGATTCGGGCCGCGACTCAGCAGCGTGCGCGGCAGCGCCGCCAATCCATGTATCACGAAACTGCAGGGCAGCCGACGAGTCAGCTTCCACATCCAGGCCACGCGCCAATCGCAGCCTGGCTTGAAGCGGACGTGCCAGCGGAGAGCCCGTGGGACGGTGCTACCTTGCAGGACCAGCCCGTAGTGGACTCCCACGTCCAGCTGGAAGGCGCCTTCTGGCCCGCGGGCGAGATGGCCGCAGAGCAGCTGGCCCAGAGCCGCGCTGAGGATCACTTTGCAGGGCGGCGAGGCCATCCGCCTCTGTCCGCATCTTGGGCCGAGGCGCGGGAGTCTCCCAGCTCCTACCTCACGGCGGCAGACCGCCGTCGGATACAGCAAGTCATCGCTGAGCAGCAGCAGCTGCGCCAGGCCACGGACGAGCACGAGCAGGCACCATCCCGGCCGCCCAGCCGCGGCGGCGAGTCCTGGCAGCCTTTCGGCGACACCATCTCGCACGTGCCGCTTGCGAGCGGGGCCACCTCGCAGCTAGCGAACTCGCGGCCCCCTAGTCGCGGCGGCGAGTCCTGGCAGCCGCTTGGCGATACCACCCCGCGCGTGCCGCCCATGATGGGCCCGTCGGCGCCGAGGTCACAGAACTCGCGGCCCCCGAGCCGCGGCGGCGAGTCCTGGCAGCCGCTCGGCGACACCACCCCGCTGGCGTACGAGGAGGTCACGCCGGAGATGTACGCCCAGTACGAGCAGCTCATCCCGCCGCAGGGGCCGGCGCTGTCCTCCCCGCGCTCGGCGGCCTCCGGGGTGGAGGCAGGACCCCCGCCGTTTGCCGCCTCCCCCGAGGGCGACGACCGCTCGGGACCCCTGGCGGCCCATGCCCTGGTGCAGCGCAGGGAGCGCCCGGCGACCCCGGGCAGCGGCGGCGCGGCCGACGCCCGGCCGCAGCACGGCCTCCGCGGCCCGCTCGCCGGCGGCCGCAGAGAGCCCGAGGGCCGCCACGGCCGCCTCCCCGCAGGGCGCCCCGGCCTGCCCGCGGGCAGGGGCGTGCTGGAGGCCTCCCTGACCGACGGCGGGGTGGACACCGACGCCCCCGTCGAGCCTCAGGACACGGACGACGTGCAGCCCGATCGGCGGGGCCAGGAGGGCCTCGACGCGTCCGACGCCTCCTCCCCCGCCAGGACCGCGCCCCGGCCGGCCGGCCCGGGGGCTTCTCTGACTGCTCCCCGTCGGCCCTCGGTGCTTTGCGTCGGCGGCGGCGGCGGCGACGGTGACGGCGCCCCAGGGCGCCCGCGCCGCCAGGAACCTCGACGCGGAGCTGGCGGGGCAGGCGATCGCCGACGGCATCGAGGTCGTCGACGTGCCCGGCGGCATCCCCGCAGGCTCACCCGCCGCCCCCGCGGCCGCGGACGACGGGGGCGCGGCGCAAGGCCCGTGCCGCCCCCTGCGCCGCGGACCGGGGAGGAGGAGTGGTGCTCTCGACTAGATGGAAGGGTGACCTTTCGCCGGAGTGACCTTTTGGTGCGGGCCCCATGGGGTCCCCCGATTGCCGAACGCGATGCGGTAATTAGTAGCGTCTTGCGCGCTCGTGTTTGGTCCCCCCGCGGCCCCCCAGAAGCCGCGCACCAAAGGTCACTCACTCGTACCCAGGGTCACCCTTGCGAGTAGTCGATACTCTAGAGTGCGAATGCGAGGAGGAAATCATCGGTTTTCTCGTGCTCGGCGACCCTGATGCTCTTCAGCAGCTCTGGCACCGAGACCCAAGAATCTTGACGCTTCGCCTGGCCCCACCAGACCATCCAAACCAAATCCAGACCTGACCATCCAATGTGAGTCGATCATGGAAGTGCCGGAGCAAAGAGGGGGACAGCCGTTACTGTTCGAGGGAGGAGGATGAGGAGGAGGAGGCACAGGAGGTGCAGGAGGAGTAGCGGATTACTCTTGGAAGGCTTTTAGAGGCCTCTTGGGGCGTCTGGGGGGGCATCTTGGCGGGCCCAAGGAAGTGTTTGAGCGTCTTGGGTGCCTCGGGGATCCTCTTGAGGCCTCGTGGGGGTGGTCTTGGGCGCCTCTTGGGGCCGTCTGAGCGCCTCCATGGGCCCTCTTTGGGCGCTCTTGGGGGCTTTAGGGACGCTCTTGGAGCCATCTTGGAACGCATCGATCAAACATGATGGGAGCTGCAATTCGGGTCCCCCCTCGGGAGCCTCCAAAATCGCCTCTTGGGGCGCTCTTGGAGCGCTCTTGGGCGCTCTTGGGGCCGTCTCGGAGGCCTCGTGGGCCCCGCTTGGAGCCCTCCTGGGCCATCTGGGAGCCATCCTGAGGCCTCGGAAGGTCATCGCCAGTGAAAAGGCGAGAACACACAATTCTTTACGCTTCGCGTATCCCCACCAGCCCATCTCACAGCAGCAGCTCTGGCGAAGCATGTCGACAGTTGTGTTTTTCAGGCGTGTGTCCGCTGGGCTCCGTATATCTCCCCTGTCCCTCCTTCCTCCCGCCTCCTTGTGAATCCTCCTTGTGGGGGGAGCGGGAGAAGGACGAGGCGGAGGAGGAGGGAGAGAAAGCGCTCCTCGTGATTTGAGTCGTTTGGGGTTTCTCGTCCTGGTGTGAGTCGTTCGGGCCCTTCTTCCTGGTGTGAGTCGTTCGGGCTCTTCGTGGTGTGAGTCGTTCGGGCTCTTCGTCCTGGTGTGAGTCGTTCGGGCTTCTCGTGGTGTGAGTTGTTCGGGCCCCTCATCCTGGTGTGAGTCGTTCGGGCCCCTCCTCCTGGTGTGACTCGTTCGGGCTCCTCGTGGTGTGAGTCGTTCGGGGCCCGCGTCGTGGTGTGAGTCGTTCGGGCTCCTCGTGGTGTGAGTCGTTCGGGCGCCTCGTCCTGGTGTGAGTCGTTCGGGCCCCTCCTTGTGGTGTGAGTCGTTCGGGCTCTTCGTGGTGTGAGTCGTTCGGGCCCCTCGTCCTGGTGTGAGTCGTTCGGGCTCCTCGTGGGGCCTCTTGGGGGCCTCTTGGAGCCTCGTGGGGGCCTCTTGGGGGCCTCTTGCGGGCCTCTTGGGGGCCTCTTGGGGGCCTCGTGGGGCCCTTGGGGGCCTCTTGGGGGCCTCTTGGGAGCCTCTTGGGGCCTCTGGGGGGCCTCTTGGGTGGAGGCCTCTTGGGAGTCTCCTGGGGGCCTCTTGGGGCCATCTTGGTGGCTTCTTGCGACCTCCTCAGAAGCGCACATGAGCTCTACCCCCTGAGAAGGACAAAATGAGCCCAAAACCTTCGTAGAATCAATACTTTTGAGACTGTGGGCCATCTGGGGACCTCTTGGGGCCATCTGGTGGACCTCTGGGGGCCCACTTGGGGGGCTTGTATGAGCGCTGCCCCTCCTCCTGGTGTGACTCGATCGGGCTCCACGTGGTGTGAGTCGTTCGAGGCCCGCGTCGTGGTGTGAGTCGTTCGGGCTCCTCGTGGTGTGAGTCGGTCGGGCGCCTCGTCCTGGTATGAGTCGTTCGGGCCCCTCGTTGTGGTGTGAGTCGTTCGAGCTCTTCGTGGTGTGAGTCGTTCGGGCCCCTCGTCCTGGTGTGAGTCGTTCGGGCTCCTGGTGGGGCCTCTTGGGAGCCTCTTGGGGGCCTCTTGGGGCCTCTTGGGCGCCTCTTGGGAGACTCTTGGGGGCCTCTTGGGAGCCTCTTGGGGGCTCTGGGGGCCTCGTGGACGCCTCTGGGGTGCCTCTTGGGAGCCTCTGGAGGCCTCTTGGGGGCGGCTTGGGAGCCTCTTGGAGGCCTCTTGGGAGCCTCCTGGGGGCATCTTGGGGCCTCTTGGGGGCTTCGTGCGACCTCCTGAGAAGCGCAAATGAGCGCTACCCCCTCAGAAGGACAAAATGAGCCCAAAACCTGCGTAAAATCAATAATTTGGAGAACAAGGAGCAGCAGCGCTGGCCCCTCAGACGGCCAAAATGGGGCCAACACCTTAGTAAAATCAATGATTTTGGCTTCAGAGAAGAGGAGAGCATTTTTTCGTGGTCCCCCCGACGGGGCCAGAATCCTCGTGAGGGTCGTCGTTTTTTGGCCCTCCCAGGAGTCGAAAAAAGACCCCTCTGACCACCCGCGGGACGACCTCTCCAGGCCCAGGGGGAGGGGGTAGGGGGAGGGGTAAACCCCTCCCCGAAGGGGAAGAAGGGGGGTTGGGGGGTTGAGGACAGAGAGAGCTCTCTAAACCACTCACGCCCAAAGGGCTGGTTGGATTTTTTGATCTGCGGGGCGAGCGCGAACCTCTTCCGCTAAAAGCTAGGCGGGCTACGCACAGCTTTAATTAGGGAGACAGGGCACAGGAAGGCGGGGCCTCAGGCGGCCGGAGCGGGCGCAAAAAACAGGCGAGAACACACAAGACATGGATTTCCCGTCGGTTTTGGAAGGACTTTGGCCTCTTGGCGGCCTTCTGGGGAGGCTTCGTGGCCACCTGGAGCGGTCTCGGAGCGTTCTCAGGGGCCACTTTGGGAGCATCTTGGGGGCCATCTTGAGGCATCTTGGGCTATCTTGAGCCATCTTGGAGTCATTTGGGGCTCTCTGAGGCGCTCTTGGAGCCGTCTTGGGCCATCTTGGACGCTTTAACTCCTCGCGAACCGCCCCGGCCAAGGCCAGGGGACGGGTAAGGGGGAGGGGAAAACACCTCCCCGAAGGGGAAGAAGGGGGTTGGAAGAGGAGCCTCCCTAGACCACCTACGCCCAGAGGGCTGGTGGGATTGTGTGCGGCCTCTGACGCTCTAACGGTCGAGACCTTCAGCGCCGGCCTAAACCTCACTGCCTCAGCCCAGACGGAGCTTGAGCCAAGTAGTGGCAGGGCTCCAGACCCCCTTCGCGTCGCGAACACACCACGTCCCACGGCTTTGAGGCGTATTTTCGAACTTGGGGGGACCGCACCGGGCCAGGGGATCGTTGACGAGTCGACTCGGTACGAGAGACCGGTCCTGGGGAAGGGGCGCAGACCTCCAGACCATGAGATCAGACGTTGCGAATAGATTGTGGCATCGCGAAGAATCGCGACCAGAGCCCTAGACCGCGCTTTTCTGTAGCATTTTCGAGTCGGATCGGTCAGCGAGGAGGAGGAGGAGGAGGAGGAGGAGGAGGAGGAGGAGGACGAGGAGGAGGAGGAGGAGGAGGAGGTGGAGGAGGAGGAGGAGGAGGAGAGGAGGAGGAGGAGGAGAGGAGGAGGAGGAGGAGGAGGGAAGGAGGAGGAGGAGGAGGAGGAGGAGGACGAGGACGAGGACGAGAACGAGGAGGGGAGGAGGAGGAGGAGGAGGAGGAGGAGGAGGAGGAGGAGGAGGAGGAGGAGGAGGAGACGAGGAGGCGGGAGGAGGAGGAGGACGAGGAGGAGGAAGGATGATGATGAAGATGATGATGATGATGATGCTGATGATGATGATGATGATGATGATGATGATGATGATGAGGAGATGAGGAGGAGGAGGAGGAGGAGGAGGAGGAGGAGGAGGAGAGGAGAGAGGAGGAGGAGGAGGAGGGAGGAGGAGGAGGAGAGAGGAGGACGAGGAAGAGGAGAAGGGAGAGGAGGAGGAGGGAGGAGGAGGAGGAGGAGGAGGAGGAGGAGGAGGAGGAGGAGGAGGAGGAGGGAGGAGGAGGAGAGGAGGAGGAGGAGGAGGAGGAGGAGGGAAGAGGAGGAATGGGACAGGAGGAGGAGGAGGAGGAGGTGGAGGAGGAGGAGGAGGAGGATGAGCAGGAGTATGCGCAGGAGGAGGAGGAGGAGGAGGAGGAGGAGGAGGAGGAGGAGGAGGAGGAGAAGGAGGGGAGCAGGAGGAGGACGAGGAGGTCGAGGAGGAGGAGGAGAAGGAGGAGGAGGAAGAGGAGGAGGAGGAGGATGAGGAGGAGGAGGAGGAGGAGGTGGAGGAGGAGGAGGAGGAGGAGACGGAGGAGGAGGAGGAGGAGGAGGAGGAGGAGGAGGAGGAGGGAGGAGGAGAGGAGAGACGAGGAAAGAAGGACATGGAGTACGTAGGAGGAGGATTAGGAGGAGTAAGAGTAAGAGTGGGAGTCGGAGCAGGCTAAGCAGGAGTAGTATGAGGAGGAGGAGGTGGAAGAGGAGGATGAGGAGGACGATGAGAACGAGTAGCAGGAGGAGGAGGATAAGGAGGATAAGGATAAGCAGGATGAGGATGAGGAGGGGAGAAGGATGAGGAGGAGGAAGAGGAGAGGGAGGATGAGGAAGAGGAGGAGGAGGAGGAGGAGGAGGAGGAGGAGGAGGGAAGGAGGAGGAGGAGGAAAGGAGGAGGAGGAAGGAGACGAGGAGAGAAGAGGAAACCAGGACACTGAGTAGGAGGAGGATGAGGAGGAGTAAGAGTAAGAGTAGGAGTCGGAGCAGGAGTAGGAGTAGGAGGAGGAAAAAGGAGGAGGAGGGGAGGGACTAGAAGGAGGAGGAGGAGGAGGAGGAGGAGGAGGAGGAGGAGGAGGAGGAGTAATTAGCAGGAAGAGGAGGAGGAGGAGGAGGACGAGGAGGACGAGGAGAAACGAGGAGGATGAGGGGGAGGAAAAGGATGATGAGGAGGAGGAGGCGGAGGAGGAGGAGGAGGAGGAGGAGGAGGCGGGCGGAGGAGGCGGAGGAGTAGGAGGAGGAGGAGGAGGAGGAGGAGGATGAGGAGGAGGAGGAGGAGCAGGGGAGAGGAGCAAGTGTTGGAGCAGTGGGAAAAGAAGCGGGAGGGAGGCACAGATGGAAAAGGACGGATGAGTGGTGGCCCTCCTGGGCACGCGCCCGGGCGGCAGCGCTGGCGCGGCGCAGAGGTGTGAGGCAGACGGCGGCTCGCAGCCCCGAACCAGGAGCCCCCGAGCCGCGGGTCCTGCAAACGAGGGGTAGGGGGACGGGGGAGGAAGAGGGGGGAGGGGGAAGGGGGAGGGGGGAGGGGGAAGGAGGGGGAGGGGGAAGGGGGAGGGGGGGGGGAGGGGGGAGGGGGAGAGAGGGGAGGGGGAGGGGGAGGGGGAGGGGTAGGAGCAGGGGGAGGGGGAGGGGGAGATATCTGAGATATCTGACGTCCTACTCCTCCCTCCCATCCCTTACCACGGCGTAGATCTCCTCTCTATTCGCACAAACGGGTGTTGCAGCATGGCGTAGCATTTCGTGGAATAGCATGGTGTCGAAGATCAATGCGTAGCATGACATAGCATGGCGTTGCGACGCGCCAAAGTGTGGGGGGGGGCTCTTGCGGCCCAACAAATCAAGGAATCGACACCGAATGTGGAATCACTTCCGATGGTTTCTTCGGGAGGCCATTCTCAAGATTTTGGGGCCTATTGGGAAGGACTGAAAACCATGCCGTGACACGGCGCTGGAAGTAATGACGCCAGAGCTGCAGCGGGAGCAGGATTCGGAACGAACGGAAGTGTGGAAATGAGGCCAGCGCTGCAGAGGGAACACGATTCGGAACAACCGGTAGTCCGAAAATGAGGCTAGCGCTTCAGCGAGAGCAGCATTTTGAAAAACAACCAAGAGCGGCAGCGCGGAAATGAGGACGCGTGGCCTGACGTAGCATGGCGCGGCGACGCCAACGAATCGACACCGAATGTGGAATCACTTCCGATGGTTTCTTCGGGAGGCCATTTTCTAGATTTTGATACCGATTTGGAAGGGCCGGAAACCATGCCGTGACACGGCGCTGGAAGTGATGACGCCAGAGCTGCAGCGGGAGCAGGATTCGGAACGAACGGAAGTGCGGAAATGAGGCCAGCGCTGCAGCGGGAGCATGATTCGGAACCAGCGGCAGCCCGAAATTGAGGCCAGCGCTTCAGCGAGAGCAGCATTTCGGATAACAAAAAACAACCAAGCCCAGAAGCGCGGAAGTGAAGACGCGTAGCCTGACATAGCATGGCGCGGCGACGACCCGAAGTGGGGGTTGCTGACCAACAAATCCACGAACCGACACCGAATGTGTAATCACTTCTGATGATTTCGTCGGGAGGCCATTTTCTGGATTTCGGGGCCTAGGACCGAAACCCATGCTTTGGCACGGCGCTGGAAATAATGACGCCAGCGCTGCAGCGGGAGCAGGATTCGGAACGAACGGAAGCGCGGAAATGAGGCCAGCGCTGCAGCGGGAGCACGATTCGGAACGAGCGGTAGCCCGACAATGAGGCTAGCGCTCCAGGGAGAGCAGCATTTTGGAACAAAACCCAAGCGCTGAAGCGCAGAGATGACGCGTAGTCTGACATAGCATGGCGCGGCGACGCCAATGAATCGACACCGATTGTGAAATCATTTCCGATGGTTTCTTCGGGAGGCCATTCTCTAGATTTTGGGGCCTACTTGGAAGGACCGAAAACCATGCCGTGGCACCGCGCTGGAAATAATGACGCCAGCGCTGCAGCGGGAGCACGATTCGGAACCAGCGAAAGCGCAATGAGGCCAGCGCTGCAGCGGGAGCACAATTCGGAACGAGCGGTAGATCGACAATGAGGCAAGCGCTTCAGCGAGAGCAGCATTTTGAAAACATACCTAGCGCGGAAGCGCCGAAATGAGGACCCGTAGCCTGGCATAGTATGGCGCGGCGACGCCAACGTATCGACACCGACTGTGTAATCACTTCTGATGGTTTCGTCGGGAGGCCATTTTCTGGATTTTGGGGCCGATTTGGAAGGACCGAAAACTATGCCGTGGCACGGCGCTGGAAGTGATGACGCCAACCTTGCAGTGGGAGCACGATTCGGAACGAGCGGAAGCGCGGAAATGAGGCCAGCTCTTCAGCGAGAGCAGCATTTCGGAAGAACACCCAAGCGCGGAAGCGCGGAAATCAGGACGCGTAGCCTGACATAGCATGGCGCGACGACGCCAACGAATCCATCGACACCGACTGTGTAATCACTTCCGATGGTTTCTTCGGGGGGCCATTTTCTAGATTTTGGAGCCGATTTGGAAGGGCAGAAAACCATGCCGTGGCATGGCGCTGGAAATAATGACGCCAGCGCTGCAGCGGGAGCACCATTCGGAATGAACGGACGCGCGGAAATGAGGCCAGCGCTGCAGCGGACGCACCATTCAGAACGAGCGGTAGATCGACAATGAGGCCAGCTCTTCAGCGAGAGCAGCATTTCGCAGAACAAAGAAAAGCCAAGCGCGGAAGCGCGAACATGAGGACCCGTAGCTTGACATAGCATGGCGCGGCGACGCCAACGAATCGACACCGCATGTGTAGTCACTTCCGATGGTTTCTTCGGGAGGCCATTTTTTAGATTTTGAGGCCTACTTGGAATGACCCGAAACCATGCCGTGGCACGGCGCTGGAAATAATGACGCCAGCGCTGCAGCGGGAGCAGGATTCGGAACGAACGGAAGCGCGGAAATGAGGCCAGCGCTGCAGCGGGAACACGATTCGGAACGAGCGGTAGCCCGACAATGAGGCTAGCGCTTCAGCGAGAGCAGCATTGTGAAAAAAACCCAAGCGCGGAAGCGCGGAAATGAGGACGCGTAGCCTGACATAGCATGGCGCGGCGACGCCAACGAGTGGACACCGACTGTGTAATTATTCCCGATGGTTTCTTCGGGAAGCCATTGTCTAGATTTTGGGGCCTATTTGGAAAGACCGGAAACCATGCCGTGGCACCGCGCTGGAAATAATGACGCCAGCGCTGCAGCGGGAGCACGATTCGGAACGAGCGGAAGCGCAATGAGGCCAGCGCTGCAGCGGGAGCACAATTCGGAACGAGCGGTAGATCGACAATGAGGCTAGCGCTTCAGCGAGAGCAGCATTTTGAAAAAACCCAAGCGCGGAAGCGCGGAAATGAGGACGCGCAGCCTGACATAGCATGTCGCGGCGACGCCAACGAATCGATACCGACTGTGTAATCACTTCCGATTGTTTCTTCAGGAGGCCAGTTTCTAGATCTTGGGGCCGATATGGAAAGACCGGAAGCCATGCCGTGGCACCGCGCTGGAAATAATGACGCCAGTGCTGCAGCGGGAGCTCGATTCGGAACGATCCGTAGCCATTTTGGCTCAAGTTCCCAACGTTGCTCCCGCGCTGGGAGCTTGGTGCAGCCAGGGGAGCAGCTCAAGGCTCCTACGCTTTCGGCCTCACAGGGAAGCCAACACCGTGTTGCAGGCGGGGAGCTGCGCGCTGCCGCCTGCTGGATCCGCACGACGGTCCCGCGCCAGGGACCCAGTGCCACACGGCAGGGCGCGATGGCGAGAAAGAGGATTGGCAGTGTCGAAGCTGTGCGCAGCGCTCTGGCAAGCCTTGGGTCAATCCTGGATGGCGCATGTACTGTTCGGGCAGGGCCAAGGGCGGGTGCGGAGGGTTACGCAAGGGCTCTTGCTTCCTCCGCGCAGTCGAGCCCGAGTCTCAAAGGTCCGTGCCCCATGTCTCCGCCGCGCCAGAGGGGGAGGGCCCGCGATGGGGAACCAGCCCAAGTCCCAGTCCAAGTATCTCGCAGAGCTGGAGGCGGAGGTGGCCGAGCTTCGACGGCAGCAAGCCCGCACTTCGGCAGCGGGAGCGCAGCCTGAGTTGGAGCTGGGAGCCGCGAAGATGACAGGGCGCTGCTGGCACAGATCGAGGCGTATGAAAGGATGCACGCTGCGTGTCTCGGGGTCGCCGGGATGGAGGCCATCGCTGAACAGCATGCTAAGGCGAAGGCAGAGTGCATGGCGTTGCGACGATCCAAAGAACCAGTCAGCATCCAGATCAGGCAGCTCTCCACGAACTTGCAGATCGAAGGTGCCCAGCAGGAGAAGCTCATCAAGGCACGTCTGGTCAAGGAGGTGCCACTCGAGAAGTTGCAGGCGGAGGTCAAGCTGTACGCAGAGAAGGTTGAGGCACAGCGCTGCGCCATTGCCGATATCGAGGGCCAGTTGCGGGCTCTTGGCAGTGGGGTTGTTGAGCCTCCTGATCCTAATTCCGAGCGCGACTCAGGGGGCCACTTCAACTTGGACGTGCTGGACAGGATTCTCCAGGCGGCTGGGGTCTCGGGGGAGCTCGTCGCCACCGTCGAGGCGAACCCGTCGGTGGAGCAGCTACTGCTACCAACTCGGGCACGTGACGAGGCTTCGCAAGACGAGGCGCCAGCGCCCAAGCGGCCTCGGGGGGGATGTGGAGATCGTCGGTGGACCTACCTCCCCCGATTTCGACAATTGTGATGTCGGGGTGCTGCGCGCCAGCCTGGGGAAGCTCGAGTTCTTCGGGGGGGGTGCCGAAGGATGAGGCGGGCCTGCGCTCCATGGCCAAGAAGGCGCACGCAGTCAAACAATGGTCGCCGTATTGAATGCTTACGCTTGGGCAAAGTATTGGCTCGAGTTTTGTTTGTTATCGGTATGATGACGTGTTCTATGGGGGTATCTTATGGGATGGCGGCTATGGCGTCGGCAACTTCCTCGCCGCCGCAGGCGGCAGCGCCTGCGGCATTCCCCCCCCCGCCCCCACTGGCGCTCGATGCAGCTCATGAAGAAAAACAGCGTTAGGACGCACATGCAGCCTGCGTGATGGTGATAAGGGGGTCGGCATCAAGGGCTTGATCACGACGGTCAACGTGTCCAGCGGTGGCCCCCTCGTCGAGTATTTGGTTGCTGGGCCGCCCAGCAGTATCATCGCGGCCCAGGGGCATCATGCGGTCGGGCCAAGACTTGCTACACGACAGACGCAAGTTAAGGATTTGGGCGACCATGGCGTCTGGCAGGAGGCGTTCCCAACGGGGGCTGGTGGCACGTCGGGAGGCGTGCGTGCGTGTGCGTGGTTGCGACGTCGCATTTATCGGTCACGGCAGCTCCCTTTTTCGATGCAGAGGCGGCGCCAGGCAGGTTGGGTGATGCACATGTACACTGCGGCCTCAAGGATGGC